TCACTATTATTATGAATTCAAATTACATGTTGAGTTGGCATAACTTTTAAGAAAGTTTTTTTTGGTATATTTTACTAAATTAACTTTAGTAATGATACTTTTGAAAATTTAAATATTTCTACTACTTACGTATTTATTTAAGAGAAATAATACTCACTCATCCCAAAACTAATTCTGATTTTTAGTTTCTAAAGTGACACTTATTTTAGAATTATTTTTTTATTGTTATTACTAAAGTGACACTTATTTTGTGAAGAAAAGAATATTAAAAATAGAAATGGAAAATTTCACTTAGGTAAAATAGATTTCTCATGAAAAAAAAGGTGGTCACTAGGTTTCTTTCTCCCACTTCCCCTATAGCTTTTTTATATCATAATTATTATTTTTTTGAAAAAAAATACTTAAGTTATCGTTACCAGAAAACTTTATGAGCGACCTCTTTTCTTCTAATTAAAAGTTAAACTAATAATAACTAATATTATTGGTAAATTTTATTGATCTCATAATTATATTTTTAAGAGATAAAGTTGTCCTTACCAACTTCTTGCAAATAAAATTAATAGAAAAGAATAAAAAATATCTCTAACATATGAAGAATGATTCATTAATATCCTTCATCCATCTATTGATCTAAAAATATCCTCAAACTAATTTTATTTTGTTTACTCAAAAATAGTTCTCAAACTAACACCCTAAATTTGATGAATTTTTTCCTAAAATAATTACCCTAAATTAGAAAGGAATGGATATGTTAAGCATGTAAATTGCAAAGAATATAAAATAATTAAAAAGGTAATTTTTCCTTCACATACTAGGATTAGGACTAATAAAATTCCTCTTATATTTTCTTATAAATACTAGTACAGTAATCTCTTTCTGTTCTATCTATTTTTCACAAATATATATGGCTTCCTCAAGAAAGGCTTCGAGAGCAAACTTCAATTCTTCAACAATATTTCTTATGTTTTTGTTGATTTCAGCAAAATACTAATGAAGTGTTGCTCTTTCTCAGAAGCTCGAAATCTTAGAGAGGATAATCAACAATTAATGAAGTGTTTATCCTGGTCTTGTTCTCAAGATTACCTATAGGAAGCTACCAATAATGTTTAATTAGTACCTTAATTAATTCTTACTTTTATTGTTAATGTCTCCTTAATATATACTTTGTTGTACAATGTAATTTGCTTTATACATAATTGTAACCTGTTGTTTTCAATGTAACTTTCTGATTGAAATGTTTGGAGAAAGGGGACTTCTGTTAAGGCCGGCCTCGTTAGATACTATACCAAAAGATGTAGTTGCAAATCAATCTTCAAATCTATCGTAATATTGTTTTGGGACATTGTTTCGATGAATATATTGTGATAAAATATGATTACTAAATATTTCATCTGTTCAGTTTTACTTGTCCAATATTCCAAAAATAGATTTTCACTTTTAGCTGTCACTTTTAATATATAAAACAATTATCATTTTTTCCTATTTAACCATCAACAGTAATTACTTATCCCCATATCATTTCCTAAAATTAGACAATGCATCAATTAATATGAGTATTATGATAAAATACTCATATTAAGGAGTGTGCAAAGTAGTAAAAATAGATAGAGGGAGTAAAACATAAAGACAAAATGTGAGGAAAAAAATAAAGCAACGATTGAATCACACCAAATCAGTCATTACTTATTATACAAAATGAGAATTTGTTATTTTTATCCAACTATAAATTTAATGTAAGTGTCAATCAAAAGTAATATTATGTTATTTTAACAACGCAATGCAATAAAATACAATACAATATAACAACTACCATCCAAACAAGTCAAAGAAACACAAAGGGAAACGCATATCTCAAACAATAACATGCAGTAGCAACAAAAAAAAAACATGTAATAGCAAACTCTGAACCCCAGCTTTCAAAAACGAAAACAACAGACTTGTGTATTCAAGCATCACAATATGAATGAAGAAGAACTAAAGCTTGAAGATGACCAGAATTCTGACTTTAATGTGACAATAATATATAGGTTTGCGAGTTCAGTATTACAACAGTACTAATGTTCAATAGTAAGTGTTAAAGAATAACAAAAGTCCCACATTGGTGGTTAATGAGATGGGTGGACTCCTTATAAGGTTTGGGCAATCCTCCTCCCTTTGAGCTAGCTTTTGGGGTGTGAGTTAGGCCGAAGACCTAATTTAACATGGTATCAGAGCCACACACAGTAATTACTGTGATAGGCGATTTCAATTGAGGATCATAGAATTGAGTTACAGATTCATCAGTTTGTCAGTTGATCTACAACTTTTACACAAGTTCTTGGGTGAAATCTGGGCGTGAGGTGGGGTGTTAAAGCAAAAAGTCTCACATTGGTGGTTAATGAGATAGGTAGGCTCCTTATAAGGCTTGGGCAATCCTCCTCCCTTTGAGCTAGCTTTTGGGGTGTGAGTTAGGCCGAAGACCTAATTTAACATGGTATCAGAGCCACACACAGTAATTACTGTGATAGGCGATTTCAATTGAGGATCATAGAATTGAGTTACAGATTCATCAGTTTGTCAGTTGATCTACAACTTTTACACAAGTTCTTGGGTGAAATCTATAGGTAATTGATGAGTAATTAGCTTCCGCAAACAATTGTTGATCAGCAGTGAATCAGGATGACGAATGGGAGAACAGTTGCAGATTCGATTCAAGGCAACAATGGTGAAAACACAGGTGTATCAATGCCAATACCTAATTCTGTAATTGGGCAAGGTGTTGACTACAATCATCCTCTTTTTCTTAGTCCTACAGATTTAAGTGGAGTGAATCTTATTTCATTTCAATTACTTGGAATCGAGAACTACTCTCTATGGAATAGATCGATTACACTAGCATTGTTAGGACGCAATAAACTGGGTTTATTGATGGAACCTGTAGTAAAGAGATGTTCAGTGAAAAATTATAGGGACAATGGGAGAGAGTGAATGTTGTAGTACTATCCTGGTTGATGAATTCAGTGTCAAAAAGTTTACTAAGTGGAATTGCATTTACTACAAGTGCTTCTCATGTTTGGAGTGATTTAAAGGAGAGATTTGATAGAGTAGATGGGTCGATAACCTATAGCCTTCATAAAGACATTGCGTCACTACAATAGGGGACTGTTTCTGTTTCTGCGTATTACACCAAACTCAAGACCTTGTGGGATGAGTTTAAGGCTGTAGTTCCTTCTCCTGGATGCAATTGTGCTAAGTCGAAAGATTTTGTAAATCACCTGAGCAGACAAAAATTGTATCAGTTTTTAATGGGGCTTAATGAGTCCTATAATCAGGCTAGAAGTCAAATTTTAATGATGAATCACTTACCAACTGTTAATCATGCTTATGCTATGGTAGTAGGAGATGAGAGTCAAAAGGTTGTGGTTTCACACATTAGCAACATGGGGCTGAGTGCTGAGAGTATGGATTTTATGGCAATGTACTCTAAATCTGTTGTTGGTTCTACTTCAGGAGTAAATCAAAGGTTTAAACGAAACTCCCTTCTCATTTGTGATTTCTGTAAATGTAAGGGTCATAGTAAAGAATTTTGCTACAAAATTATGGGGTATCCTCCTGATTTCAAGTCCAAAAAGAAGGTTCAAGGTGTTCGGTTACAATAATTCTGCTCCATGTGGTGTTCCTGGTCCAGGTCAGGCTCATTTTTCTTATGGCTTGAATACTAATGTGCATGAAGCAAGATGGGATCTGAAGTCTGCTACTGCACAAAGTGAGCATGGAAAAGCAGCAAGTCAAGCAGAGATGAATGTGAAACAATTACTGAAGGGTTGCACATTCACAAAAGAACAGTATGATCATATTCTTAGAGGTCTCACACAAAACCAAGGCACTGCAACATCTGAGAGCAATACCACTTTTGCTGCTCACACTGCAGGTAAATCCTTGTTTGTTTCTAAGAACAATGAAGTGTGGATTGTAGATTCTGGTGCAACAAATCACATGGTTTATCAGATGAACATGTTTATAAAAGGTTCTGTGTCAGAATTGCAGATTCCTAAAATTGTATATCTGCCTAATGGGGGTACTACTCAGGTCACTCATGTTGGTTCTTGTGCATTAACAAATAGGAGTGTTATCTCCAATGTATTTTACTTACCTGAATTCAAGTATAACTTGATGTATGTAAGTCAGTTGACAAAGGAACTTGGTTGTTCAGTTACATTCTTCACTAACTTATGTATTCTCCAGGAGCTTTATAGTGGGAAGGTGAGAGTGGTTTGTATCAGAGCAGGGCCCGTCTCACCCGATGTTGGGGCCTCCAAAATCAAATTTGTCCACGCACCAGATGCTAAGCACTGGGCGTGAGGTAAGGTGTTAAAGAATGACAAAAGTCCCACATCGGTGGTTAAATGAGATGGGTAGACTCCTTATAAGGTTTGGGCAATCCTCCTCCCTTTGAGCTAGCTTTTAGGGGTGTGAGTTAGGCTTAAGACCTAATTTAACATTAAGCATACCTGAAAATTAACCTTACAAACAACACTCACATAGCCAAATTAATTTTGTTGCAGAAAATCATCAGTCTAGTTCAAGATGTCCTGAAGAATACAACTCTCCTTCTTCTTCACCAAGAATGGTACGAAACAGTTGTAAAGTAAGCATGGGGTAAACATTATTTTTGGAACTCAAAAGTGTACATAAAAGCAACAACTCTTCCAAAGATACTTAGCTTTAATATATCTATCTTCAGTTCATCAATCTTGGCCCTAAATATTCGTTTAATCAAATCAGGTATATTTTGAGGTTCATCAGTCTATGCAAGATGTTCTTTAATTTCAGGCCAAGACGGGTTACATGTTCATAGTTATGAACATTCAGGTTTGCTAAAATGTTGAACCAAAAATACTGAGAATGATTCAACTAGAATTTGCTAGTGATGAAGCTAGTGATCTTCACCTAAGCAACAATCAACAAATTCACGTTTTAGTATGAAGCTAATGATGACCAGGAGAAAGAATCTTGAGTTTAAAGCTTTGCTTCAAGAGGACACAAAACCCAACTTTTAGGATAGTCAACAAGCAGAAAGGCACATGATTCGTAGAGATCATACATCGATTATTACCATTCAGATTCAAGCAATGCTTATTTAACGGGTAGGACTCAAATGTATTTCCCAAAATGCTACAAAGCTAAGTGACTTGTGGATTCTCTACAAATTTTACATCGTTGCGAGGAATGATGGGGTCAAAATGTCTGGCATGCCCTCTATACCTGCACAAAGAATAAGAACTATGAAAATATTTTGAAGATGCTTCCAAATGTGATCTAACACTAGTAAGCATATACATGAGCAGACTGTTCCATCTAAAACATATGGAAGTGAATTAATTTACAATTTACGGCATGTCTGTCACAGATGACATGATAAATCCAATGCATGAGAAATCAAACTGATAGAATATTTTAATGAGATAAACATCACAAGTTATGCCTGAGCTGAAATCACGATCACTGCTGTGAAAAACAGAGATTAAGGGAGCATTTATAAACTTACAAATTTTATCCTCTCTCCTGGTTATTTAGCATGTCCAAAATAGCATAAGCAGCTCTTTGAAAATGTTCCTTCTGTTCCTCTAAAGTTTTACTTCTCTCAAGAGCAGACTCCTTGCACTTCTCCATGTCTTCTGTTACTTCAGTAGAGCTCTGATCAATTTCGCTGTAGAAAGTGATATAAATGTGAAAGGGTAGGACACAAACAAGCAGACAGGGAGAGAGAGAGAGAGAGAGATAATTGTCCATAGATGCAATGAAATGAATGGTTACGGTCTTTAACTCTAACTAATAAGTTGCAAGAAAGAATGCGCAGTTAAAATAAAAATGCAAGAAAGACTGTTATGAAAGAGTGAAATATGAAAACCAATAGCTTCAGAAGAACGCAAACTCCTGACTGCCCTCGAAATATTGACGCATTTGATATATATAAAATAGTAATCTTGAGATTTAGTCAAGAACATTAAAAAATGGAGGATAGAATAGATGAATATTAACAATACAAGTCCAAGTTTTCAAAGCCAATGCAAGTATTTGCTCATTTCTCTATGTTGCTATGTAGATAAAACTATACTTCCTTCAGCCACAATGCTAATCAGCTCACTTTATCATCTTCAGCATGTTCTCCATTGCCCCTTGCACTTGTTGTGAGAGCTCTGCATAACCATTTTGTAGAACATGTAAGTTCCTCATGACATTGCAATTCCACAAGGTATATTAACATTTAATTGATGACAACGCTGATCAACACATTAGCAAAACTTCTAGTAACTGAAAACAAAGGCCCTATTTCAACATGACCAGGCAAATGGCAGATGAATTCTACTATCACTTTTAGAACGTGCGGGTAACTGAAAATATCAAGTTCCCTCTCAATAAGTCGAAGCATGAACCACCAATAATAACTGCCGGGGCTCAGTGAAGCTTATTTCTTTTAACCTGATGTTCCATTATTTTCATTAACATGTCATATCAGAACATCCACTAAAAAAATTTCCAGCAATAAATTATGGATTTGAATTAGGGATTTCCTCAGTTAGTTATTAGGTAAAGAGAACGTCCAGTGCACTTAGTCACAAGTAGGATTCGAGACCACATTCCTTCACATCATAGGTCAGTAAACCGGATTAAGACCATAAAACTACATATTGATCAATATAAACTTCAGTAGTATCTAGCTATGCAACTCATACACTACATTCTCCTGGATTTTCCGCAATCAGTTTCCATTTTATATTTAAGAGGAAACTGAAATATGACTGACGTAGTATTTGCACTTTATTTCTTTTTTAGTTCCGTGAAGTATGTATAGTGTAGACACATAAGTCTACTGAATTTTTTAGTGATAATTCATCTCCAAAACAAAAATTTAACCACTATCTTTTTATCACCAGACGCATGCAATTTGTGGAATGAAGAGAAAGGCTTTTAGATTCCAACTTAGGATGGTGTGCACTTCCAAAATTAGATGTAACAGATGAGATGATCTAAAACTTTGCTAAAAGCAGCATACCAAGACCATGTGAAACAGTAGTTTAGATCAGTTAATTGTTCATTTTATCTCAATTCAAACCAAATTCCTCAGCATTTTATCCTCATAGCATGCAATTAACAATTCATAAATGTTTTGAAGGTCAATTGAGACAGTTGGCTAATATTCTCAGTTCTCTTGCTGTATAGAAGCCTTATTCTTTAGACAGATAATACAAAACTATTTTCTAAAATATCAAATTTACCTAGTTAGGTCTAAATTGTTTCTCACATTAATCAAACAACTTGTAAATTCTCTCTAATTCAGAAAAAAAAAATTAGGAAAAATATCAAAATTTCAAGAGAAATTCAATCACTAGCAACTAAAGACGGAAAAGTAACACAGGCAAGAATATAACTGAAGAAATTATAATAAATTTAACTGAAAAAAAGCAACTGATAGTTTATAATTCGAACTATTTCGTCTCCCATTCACGAAGACGAAATTCAAAACAATATGCGAAAAAACAACACATATGACGCTGAGACAGAAGAAAACAGCACATGAAAGCTAATGCAAAGCGGAAAAGGATTACCAGAGGAAATATCAAACAATAACATAGCAATTTGACTAAAACTCCGAAGAAGAAAAAAAATATACAAATCGTCCAGCTAAAATTTCAATTGGTTACAGATCTTCAAGATAAAATGCATACAATTGAATGTAGTACTCAATATACATATGGAGAATACCGTAAACGACGGAGGAAAGCTGAGATTCGATTTCGGAAGTCCGAGCAAGTTGATCGTCGGCGGCACAGGCGGTTCTGGAAAGCTCCATTTTCTGTTTGAGCAGAGAGTGTGTGTAAAGTGTGAATGAATTCGAGCGCGCTTTTTCTCCTGCTTTCATAGGCAATTCATTTGGGCATTTTCGAATATTGTATGTTCAAATAAGAAAAGAAAATTTCCAAATTTGCCCTTGAATTGTGCCAAATTAACGTAATTAATATTATGGTGCAAGGGGTGAACATGGTATGGTACGGTACGATATTTCAAAGTTTCAATATCTTAATTTTGATATTTATTTTTTAAAACATTATATCATTATCATACTAATTTAATTCAATATGGTTTGGTATTTCGAAGTTCGGTTTGATATTCAATGGTATGGTAAATCGATAGCATAGTTTGTTCAACTTCTACTAATATATATTCACTTCAACAATTAAAAAAATGTCTCAATTGTATCATATTAACACGTTACACGTGTAGAAATATATATTCAAAATAAAGTACAAACAACTTCTTTTGTTAATCAATTAAATTTCAATCAAACTAGAGTGGTCAAAGTTTTAACTTCTAAACATTTACTTTATACTAATATTAGGTTGCATAGTTGTTAGTATTTTAATTATATATATATATATATATATATATATATTAT